TTTTTTTTTTTTTTTTTTTTATCTTTTGGTTTCTCCAGACAGTTTCTCTGTGTAGCCCCTGTGTCCTAGAACTCACTCTGTAGAGCAGGCTGGCCTCAAACTCAGAGATCCATCTACCTGCCTCTGCCTTCCCAGTGCTGGAACTAAAGGCATATGCCATCAGTGCTTAGCTTCTGGTGTGTGCTCTTAATCTTAGCACTAGGAAAGCAGAATCGAGAGGCTCTCTGGGACTCCCTGGCCAGCCAGCCTAGCCTCCAGGTGAGTTTTAAGTCAGCAAAGACCCTGACTCAGAACTAAGGTGACTCCGGAGAGACTATGTCTGCATACACATGTAGACATCAGTAGACACCCATATAGGTAAGACAACATCTGACCACGTACTAATCCTTCATAGAAGAGTTTGACATCTCCTCAGACAGCTCAGCCTGAAAGGGAACTTGGGAGCCAGGCATGGTGGCAAGTGTCTTTAACCTCAGCAGTGGAGGAGGACTCTAATGTCACCAACACTGGAGAAGGAGAGACAAAAAGCCTGGTCAGCAGGCTTCTCTTGCAGAGCCTTGCCCTGAGCTGACGAGACAGATTTCCTGGGAGGAGTAGGCCTGGCCCCGGAGTGCTGGACTGATGGTGGCCACACTCAGCAGGAAGGACTGGTTATGCAGACAGAGAAGGAAGCAGCCGTGCGGAGTACATTGGGTTATCTCCCTAGTGTGGCAGAGGCAGGTGGATCTCTGTGAGTTCCAGGCCAGACAGAGATATATAGTGAGACACAGTTTCAAAAGTGGCAGGGCTGAGCCAGGTGGTGGTGGCAGTGCACGCCATTGATCCCAGCACTCGGGAGGCTGAGGCAAGCGGCTCTCTGAGTTAGAGACTAGCTTGGACTACAGAGTAAGTTCTAGAACAGTCTGGGCTACACAGAGAAACCCTGTTTAGAAAAAAAAATAGTGGTGGTGGTGGGGGTGAGTGGGAGGGAGGTAGGTAAGGCCCCTCTCCTATTCCCCAGTGGGTGGCTCAAAAGCTACCAGGTCACCAGGGGCACAGGCCTCAAGACTTCTGTCTACAACCCGGTTAGCCAATGCTGTGCCTACTTGCAATGGCTCTGGCTAGGACTCAAGAGAAAGTGGGTAGGGCCAGGTTACAGTGCAGTCTGGAGATTCCAAAGTTACAGAGCCTCTACTTCTGAGACACGGCCCCAGCCTGTTTCCAGGGACTCTAAGGCAAAGTGCTCTGTCACCTAGCAACATCACTGACCTTTCTTGTTATTTTGAGGCTAAGCTATTCAGGCTAGCCTCGAACTCTCAATCTTGCTCTCTCGGTCTCCAGATGCATAGGGGGAATCTGTGTTGAGACACCCAGCCCTGAGGGTGAGTTCTACTACAGTAAGGAGCTGAGAATGGTGTCAGCCCTGGCTCACACACTGGCTGGTTCTCGGATGAGACTCATCTCAGTCCCTAGTGGTCTGGAAAGTCCAGCAAAAACATCAGGCTTGCTGTGCACCTGGGCCTGGCAGGCGGCAGGCTGTGGAAAGTTCCTAGGGTGACTGTGGCAGGCTAACCATCAGGCCCCTAGCACTTCCTTCTTGTCTTGTGGGCGCTTGCGTAACTGCAGACAGTGGGGCTGTCCGGTGGCGGTGGCCCGAGGCCCCACGCACAGCCACCTTCCCACTGCACTTCTGAGACCTTCCCCTTCTCCTCCCACTCCCTCTCGAATGAGAAATGGAGGCAACATGTGCTTATTTTTTTTAAGTGTTTCACCTTGCAATGACCTCTATAAACAGGGCCAATTTTTCTTTTATTCTCTGTCTTTTCTGTCACGGCAAAGGATTTATTTTTAATACCTGTGAACTATTTATTTTACCTTTTTGATCTTTTGAGATGGTCTCCTGTAGCCCAGGCTGTCCTCCAACTTGAACTCCAGATCCTTCTGCCTCCTCTTCCTTCCCGAGTGCTGGGATTAACAAGTGTGTGCCCTACGCCCCCTTTCGGGCTTTTACACTTTTGGAATCACATTTATTGCTTTGGTGGGGGTGGGGGATCAGGTAGAAGTTGTCCTGTGCACCAGGATCAGAGGACGACTTGCAGGAGTCCGTTCTTTCCTTCCACTGTGTAGGATCCGGAGTCAGTGCCTTTACCCATTGAGAATCTCCCAGCACCCCTGCCCCATCCCTCCCCCTTTTTTAAAAAGTGAATTGAGGATGGGGAGTGTAGTTTGGTTGAAAAGCATATGCTAGGGCATGTACCAGGTTCTAAGTTCAAAGCTCCCCCTAAGACAAAGGAGAGTTTGAGGCCATGCTGTTCTTGCAGACACCCAGGTAGTTCTTAATCAGTAAATTCCAGAACATTAGACATCCTTTTCTGACTTTATGGGCACACACACACACACACACACACAGATGTTTTGGGGAGACAGAATGTTTTAAGCTTAATGTGTACATATATCACTATTCACTTTGTATTATAACACCATGGCTATTTTTTAAAAGATTTTAGTGTACGAGCATTTGACTTTCGGGATGTTCATACACCGTGTGCACACCTGGCGCCCTCAGAGGCCAGGGAGGGCATGGGGTCTCCTGGGACTGGAGCCGCCTGCCTCTGCCTCCCAAGTGTCGGGATTAAAGGCCACTGCCCGGCCATATTGATTATGAATAAAGATGTTTACTTATGTGTATGTATGAATGTACGTCACCAGTGTGCTAGTGCTCACGGAGGTTAAAAAGGTACCACAGGTTCCTCGGACCTGGAGCCACAGGTGGGTGCTGGGAACTGAACTCAGGCCCTCTGGAGCAACAGCAAGGCCTTCTAAGTACTGGGCCATCTTCCCAGCCGCTCAGGCTCATAGCCTTTAATCACTGGCCTTGGGGTGATGTGAATGAATGATTGAACAAATGAATGACTTGGGGCATTATTCCAGGGAGCATAAGCCCCGAAAGAGCTTTTCCCATTAGGCCAGACCAGGCCAGGCAGTGGCATCAGGCCCTTCCTGCTCGGGACCATAGGACTTTGACCTGTCTCCCAGTCGGCCCTCAGCCGCTTGGCTTTCCCCAGACCAGAGGCCAGGCTGGCCATTTCCTTAACCAGGAAATCCCCCAAGTCAAGACAGGGAAGGCGTCATGAAAAAAGTAGCTTGCTGTCAGAGATGAGGACAGTGAAGTGACTTCAGGGACCTTCTATCAGAAGGAATTTGTGGCTTCCTCAGATTAAAACAAAACTGCCTTAATCTTTAGTTCTTGGCACATTTAATATAAACCCCTCCTGCTGCTGCCTCTTCTCTTCCTCTTCTTCTTCTCCTTCTCCTCCTCCTCTTGTTCTTCAGTTCTTCCTCCTCCCCTGTCCTCCTTCACAGGCTTTCTCTGTGTAGCCCTGACTGGCCTGGATCTTGTTCTGTAGACCAGGTTGGCCCCCAACTCACAAAGATCTGCCTGCCTCTGTCTCCCAAATGCTGGGGTTAAAGGTCTCCTTCTCCCAATACTTCCCCTTCCCTGCTCAGCCTCCTGCTGCTTCTCAGTGACCCACCATCTTCCCAGCAAGATGGGCAGGGTTTCACAGCTGGACTCTGTGGAGCAAGGCTGTGGGGGCGAGCAGGTGCATGGAAAGATCACTTCCTAGCTTTTGACTCCTTGGGGCTCTTTCTCAGCAACATGGAATGGGATGGATTCCGCTGGGGGAGGAATGTGAGGCCTCAGAACAGTCAGTAGCTGCAGGAAGTCCAACTCAGGACACTCCTCAGACCCGCCACTGGGGACTCCCTTCTTGGGCCCTCCAGGTGCTCCGTATTGGGGTTTTGAATAGATCCTGACTGTAGGCACTGTGCCCTGCAGTCTGACCATGGGCACTGACTCCCTGCCTAGCATGTCCCTTAGCAAGCTTACTCAAGCTCTGAGCCAGTTACTTTCCTCATCCATAAAATGGCTCAGCCATTTTGTCCACTTTTCAGGCTGTTACGAATTGGAAATAAGGTTGAGGGCCAAGCCTGGCAAATGTTGCCCGTTAGCAAGCAGGAACCATCTGAGAGCTGTCTGGAACTGGGCAAGTGGTGGAAAGGGTTAACGTTCAACAGGAGTCGGGTGGTTGTTGTTATAAGACGGGGTTTTCCAGGGTAGCCCTGGCTGTCCTGAAAC